CCATACTGTACCACTTAATGAGTGATTTGTCTGTTTGGGCTAATTGCCTTGCATATATGCAAAGCAGAGGCGGGCTAGCCAGAGCGAGGGAGGGAGGGAGGGCAGTTGAGAGTCGGGGTAGGGACGAAGGGGAAAGGAGCAACGGTCCCTCTTGCTCATCGACCCACCACGTTACAGGATAGCCAAATTACCCGAGCCAGGCCACAGCTAATATTTGAAAAGGCATCACCGACACAAAAGAGTTGCCATTTATTATCGCCAATGCAGAATTCTAAAGGATGTATAATTAACGTGTCCCTGTCGGGGACCAGCCTGGTCCGACCACTTTTCACATGGACATTAATCGTGGGCTAAGTGGGTCATAGGAGTTGCTTGTTTCACCCCGAGGGAGAAAAGAGAGGCCCTCTTTGCTTCACTTGTTTCTATACACGGACTGTACCATATGATGACAGCTATCGACACAGGGGGCCTGGACAGGTAAATACTTTAGCTTTCCTTACTCTATGTTGACCACAGTGCTGTGACGGAATCTTGACAATATTTACAACACGAGGGTGTAGGATGCCTTGCCCGTCTGCCTCTATCTACTGGTGGCTGGCTGCCCGGCTGCTGCCGAGACCGATCTTCACTGGCCAGGCCACGATCTAGTCACACAGGCCAATCTCTGGGTCGCACTCTTCCTCAGATAATGTGCCGGCTTCGTTATGCTGTGACTCGGGCAGAATAATAATAGCTCTTGGGCAACAGTTAGCCGACAGAAGCCATCAGAGAAAGGGAGATAGCTGACGTCAAACTAATAAATCAATACACAGCTAGGATTAGAGGTGATCAGGCTTAATCTGCTCATGTTTTATAACTTTAGAAGAAATTCTGTCAGGTTAGGGGTCTATTTGTTGCTCGTTCTCATCTCTTGGGGCATAACCTTTCATCCTAGTGGTCAGTGAGTGTTGTCAGTAATGGTCCCAGGTCCAGGGTTATATACCAGGGTGGACAATAGGGTTAGGCCATGAGCCAGAGGTTACTTGCAGGTTAAGTAATCATCAGACATCTTGCTTTTTTTAATGGACATGGTTTTTTTAAGTGAAATGTAACCAGTTTGTTTTTCATTTCTTCAAAGTGAATTTATTTTGTTGTACATGTACAGTATGATAAGAAATTCTTATCTTGCTTTCTCCAGTTTCAAGTGAAGTGAAGTGTCATAATCTCTAGTGTAAATTTATGCCCAGTGCTAGTCATGCTTGGACAAGCTTTGAGGGATAAGTTTCAAGATTAAAAAGCCTTTATTTATCTGCAGATCAAGTGATAGAGGTTTTTTAACCAGTGGTAAGTGAGCTGTCCGGTCTGTCGACACAGTCGGCATCTTGTTGGTGATAATTGAAAACGACACAATGGTCTGTCAGGCGGTTGCTGCTGAGTTCTAGAGAGATAATTTGCATTGGCAGAGATGACCCCTCTCACATCCTCCCTCCTCAACCCACACTGATTTCTTCTGTCTACTCCACAGAAGCCACAAATACCCCTGTATTATCTTCAAGTGTTGTCAAAGTTGTAAACTAAAGAATTCAAAAACCAGCCTCCCCGTAAGATCAAGTCTGCAGGTCGGAAGGTATTACAACACGATATGTAATTTCTCAGCGACTTTGTCCGAGAATCTGCCTAGGGCACACAGCTGTGTCTTAACAAGCCAGTGACCGGAGAGAACAATGAGCCTTAATTTCGGGATTAACGCGTAGGAGATTAGGTCTTGACTAATTACTGCTTCTTTAGAATTGTCCTTGATGAATATTTCACTTGACTGCCTCCAGCTAATGAAATGCCTGGGACAGCTTGTGTAACTAAGATTAATTAAAAGTGCTTTTCTTTCTGGTGTGCTACCCTTTTGTGTTTGAGACAAACAGTAGCCCCAATCATCTGGCTGGCTAGGGCCCTCTAACGGTGGTCAACTCCTGTCAGAATGAGAGTGGATTAGGAGGCGATAGGTCATAGCTCGTACCTCCTCTTTGCTGGATACAGGATACACCATTCTTGTGGATTTACTCAATTGTGGATTTACCAAATTGTTTTGTGCCACCACCATGTTTTCAAAGACACAGACATTGTGTCAGACTGGGTTATAGGCTACAGGTATGATCCATATTTTGACTATATAACTTTGTGTGCTATGTTTACAGGGACAATGTACAGTTATGTATTTTACTGTTATCAATGTACACAATGGCTAGGGTTTTCAACCTTGCAAGTTGTAATGAAACCAGTTGAAATTTGTTGCAATTATTTGCTGCAAAATATTTTTGAAAATTAATTTTTGTGAAGATATGTAGATAAACAATAACCTTTTTAGTATCTCAGAATGCTAATAAATCTGAAACTACTGTTTGCAAAAGGAATATAAAACACCAAGTCACTGATACTTTTTAATGATTGAATTAAATCCCAAAGTCAACCCAAAATACATTAAAATTACATGATTATGTTGTTTTGAATGCAGACTATAAAGAGAATTTTGAACAGACTTTCTTAATGTACCAGCTGTTTGTTGTGTTAGTACAGGATATGATCTCAAGTTATTTTGCATTGAGCAAAATTTAACTAGCATGGAGGTGACTAATTTAAGTTTATATCATGCATCCATCACATGGAGAAGTGTGATGTTGGTACGTTTATTTTTGTGTTGGAAGCATATAAACTCTGACATGCACTCAAACGTAATTGCTCTGAATTACCAGGAAACCATTAGATGTGTGTAATTTGACATAGCAGTAATTAACACAAACAATTTTGAGATATTCTTAGAACATATTCTCCATTAATTACTGGATGCAGCGATTATGTTGTTACTTCAACATTACGTTAACCTGTTTATGTGTTTTCCAACATATTAATTAAAAGAAAATGGGGCTAATTAATAAGCATAGAATCAGTTTATACTTGTTTTGTGGTATAATTGATGGTATGTATGGTGGACACACTGGGAGTATATAAATGTTGGACTAAACCACTATACTATAGAAAACATACGGTTTTCTTTCCATTGTAAAATAAACTGAAACATTTGAAGAAATATTTGTCATTCTTAAATGAAAATCAAATAGGATTGTATAAATTATATGTAAAACTTTGTTTACATGAAGCTCATAGAAATATTTTTCATTATTAACCATAGCTAATAATCATTATCAGGCTCATATGAAAAATATTCAAAATTTGTTCGTGTTGAAAAATAACTAATACATGGTCCAATAATGAAACAAGTACAATTAAAAAACTTTATGGGTTTGAGAATTCATAATCAGCTCAGGTTTTATAGATCAACACTGCTTTCATATGCACGTTTTGGTTGGAAAATTAATTTATTCTTCATAATATACATAGAGTATATGATATTAAAAATTGTGTTTCTGGATGTGCCCCAGTAGCCACAGTTATATAGAAAATTACACGTCAATTAAGTGAAACTTGAAATTGTCATTATTTCATGCAAACAAATTACAATGAAGCATCAGTGAATGGAGTGACAATGGAGAAATCAGTGAACATACACTACTGCATAAAATGTAACATATATCAGAATATTGCCAAATATTCTTCATTGTCATAACTTCAAATTAATAAACACATTACCAAGCTTTCATCAGAATTGTAGGTTAAATTAGGATTAGCATATTAAGTTGTACCCTCTGAAAAGGCTTTCAACAGCAAATGACATTACCACAACCATGTGATTTATTCCGACTTTTATCAGGATTCATTCTGATTAATATTTAAGTAAAAGTGTCCAATAAATATATACAGTGATTCTGTCAGACAGAATTAATCATTTGAGAGTCAGAGCTTTAACTGAACAGAAGGAAGAGTCTCTCAGCTTCATACGTAAGTACAGTATGAGTTTGTTAATTTTGGTTCACTTTTTATTTTGCAATTAAGACTTAATGATTATTTAGCCTCATAAAAATATCTTTTGACCACAAACTGTCTTGAAAAGTCCCAACAGGAAATTGTATGCTTTTGGAATGATTATTTTTGTAATTAGAGATTTATAATTTATCAATTCTAATTTAATTTTCTCAAGCTGGTTATTTAAAAAGTTAATTAGAAAATGTATGTCCCTACCACTACTGTTTGTTTTTTGTCTAACACTAGTAATTAATTATTACTAGGCATTGATTTGTTTAATCAATGTAATTAAGTTTTCTTTGTTACATAATGATGTAATTATTGGGAACCAAGTGTTGATTCATGGACTAAAACAAACTAAGCCATGGTATTGTCTCCTAGTTCTTACATAACGGCATACAAATATGTTTTGTATGCGTTATGCAACAAGCTTGACGCCTTGTGGCTTTGTTTCCTCAAGTGTGAAGGTATGTCCAATCTTCAGAAAGGATTATAAATGGTAGTTGAATATTTGCTGATAATTATCGAAAACAGAGAATTCCAGGTCATCACATGGGTGTGATGTGGTATGGTTGTGTAATTGTTTGAAAAAATTAATTGAGGAGAAATTCCGATGAAGGGGTCAGTCTACAGAGGAGAGGAAAGCAGCCCTGATGGCATGTGGAGAGAGGATGAGACATTCATATAACAAGTGTAGCACAGAGCTGTAATCAACCCGGGCCTGTGAAATTACACCAGTATTCCTGGTCAAACAAATCATTAACACATGCAGAGGATCTGAGCCTGCTAGCCTCTCCCCATCACTGCCTGGTCAGATTCAAAGAAAAGTGAAAATGAGAGGTCAAAAAGTCATTCCCATCTTAACAAAGCATCTTGCCATCCAATGCGCAACTTGGAAGGAAGGCTTTAGGACCCAAGCACCTGTAGCAGGGGTCTCTCTGTCCTGGCCAAATTGTAATTAGTGATCTGCATATGATACGCTTGGCTGAGAGAGGGCTGTCCACGGTCGCCCCTACTGGGCAGTAGATCAGGCCAGGGAGGGCACAGGCAGAGACGGGAACAAGTTGGTCCTCGCTGCCTGATTAATGCTTGTAGTGTAAGTAGCCCTCACGCCTCGCGTTCGCTGCCTCTCTAACTTCATTACGCCCTCATCGCAACTCATTTTCTTTGATTTATCCCTGGATCAGGCAGCAGTGGACACTATCAGGCCGCATCCCTCTATACCTCTCTCTCCACCTCTGCCACCAGAGGGACCTGGTAAGTGGTACATCAGTGTTCTGCATGGTTGACTCTTGCTATGACCTTACATACAACATGACTACAACCCTCTCACGGCTTCTGCTCATTCAACTAGAGGAAGTTTACTTTTGGGGTATCACGTCTGCTCTTTATGAAAGAAGCAGGCGCTTTTTGCAGCCATTATTTACTATAACTGCCAGACTTGATTCTGGAAGTTCTCTGGGACGGTTTGAAGGAGGGTCTTGAGCTACTGGCTTCTGCTACCGATTTGGATGTTTGGGTTTCAGTAGCACTATTATATAACGCCCCTAATCTGATTGTACATGCCTGTTAGGCATTTTACTCCCGCCAGAAACTTGAGAAAGTTCATCAGTAGTCAGGATGAACAAGCAGTCTGACAGGTATATATACACATTTGACTGGCACAAGCTAAACTCTGCTGTGATGCTGTATTAAACCCCTCTGTCTGCCACCATTTACAACCTCAACGAATCCTGGCAAAAAACACTTGTTCTCTGCTTATCCCAACACAGTCTGCGAGGCCCTGTTTGGGTTTTCTTGTCAGTGGAAAAAGAGATTGTCTGAATCAATATCCAATTTAATGTTCTGTCAATCCTGTGTTTTATGTCGAATCGCTGAATGTTTGAATTTAAACATTCTTAGTTGATGTTACATAGAAGTTCTACTTTGCAATTAAAGTTTTGTAATATCATGAACTTTTTGAATAGTGTTTTTGTGATATTCTAACTATTTTCTGGTTTAAATAATCATGTGTTATTGTACAGATGTGTCTGCTAATAAGTGTACAAATTATGAATTCATGAAGCAAAACAAATCACATATGTGTTATAAAGCTGACTAATTAGTGTGAACTTTAGTGTTAATGAACAATTTTTTTCTAATTAGTGTCTGCCTAATAAGCAATTGTAATCTAGTTCATATGGTGTAAGAGTTTTAACTAATTATCTTGGTTCTAACAATGTGTCAATTAGTGGTTCATTAGTATATTCTTGTTGTATCATGCATTGGAGGCCCTAAATATATATATCCATTTCACACCAAACACTGAATGATTTGGTATAATTAGTTGTGTTAGAACAGTCTTATTTTTACTTTCCTAAAAGATATCTCAGGATGGTTTGATTATGAAGCATGTGTAGACATGTAGACTTATCTCTTTCATACTCATATTCCATAAGTTAAACTCACAAAATGGACATTAAGGCTATCATATGTAGACAGCTGTTAATTTGGTCACCCAAACAGAGCCCCTTTAAGGGCAGGCAATCTACCGCCCTGCTGCTCCACCCCTGTCCCGAGCGCCTAACCCATATTGCACCATAGTCAACACTGAGGTAGATTTGATGAGCCGACCATTCACACCAGGTCAGCACTTGATATCAGCCCGTATCACCCTAGCCATTTATAGCTCCCGGTACCAGGAGGACAACAGGCCAGGCGCTAAATGTAGCAGCCCTAAGGTTCTGCTATCTGCGAGTCCATAGACCCCGCAGACCGGTAGCAACTAGCGGGAGAAAGAGAGCTCTCGTTGAAAGAGGGCTCAAGTCTTGCTCACCGACAAGTGTAGAGTTTTAAAAAAACATAACTGTAAACACACTCCCGACTAAAATATTATTGTAGGTGGTCTTCTCGCCGCGGAAGATAGATGGAGGGAGGCGCGAGACGACTTGGAGCGACGGCGGGGGAAGGGAAGGGGGAGAGTTGGAGGGGATATTATGGAAATGTGAATGGCGGGGCCGGCAGGGGAGGGTTGGGCTGAACTCACAGTGCAAGGGAAAGCCACAAAAGAATGCTCTCATCACAATCAGTGTCTTTGAACAGAGTAGAGATTGGGTAAGGGATACCTACTCCCTATCCTACACCATGCTGAATGACTAAGGCATAAGTCTTCCACTGACTGTTAGTCATCATGAGAATTCAAGAAGAAAATTAAAACTGAGGATTCTGATAGGGGCTGTTTGCTGTGATTAGACTTCGACCTTTGCCCTGCTGCCCTGTCTCCTTGCTATTACTCCAGATAAACATACCAGTCAATTATACTTCTCCAAACATCCCTGGGAAATAGAAATATTAAGTCCTCCTTTTTAGCAGTTGCAGGAAGGATGTTTTCCATGGTCGCTTTAATTCTTTTTGGTGAGAAAACATACTCATTATTTTTCTAACATGTCTAATAATAAGTAACTCAAAACCTTCGTAAAAAAATGTGGAATTGTTTGCTCTTAAACACAATTATTTGGCGCCTAAACTAATGAATACATTTTTCCAAACAGAATTTTTTCTATTATATCGTGGACAAACATATGTTATTATCCATATGGATAATGATGAGTATGGTTTTTTTTAGCTCAATTAAATGAAGTATGAGGCAGTGCCACCTCAATTAATGAAATGGAATGTATGAAAATCTCAACTGAAAAATTAAAGTAGGCAAAACTTTTCTTTTATCTTTCCGATGAAAAGTTATCAAAGTGTAAAAATTCCCCGACCTGTACTGAAGTAGAAGGAATGACACATAAAGAAAATTTATACCCATTGCAGTCTTTGTAATTAGATAGATAGCTTGGAAGCAGAAATAGAAAGCTATAAAAATGTTTTAGTGTGAGTGTGATGTTATTTGTAAGAAACATCCGTTAAGAATTCCTAGCCCAGACTTCAGCCAAATTCCCTTATAATGGACCAAGCTTATCTCGCTCAAACACTCTCAGCTTCCAGCATCTTTATGGGAACAAAAAGCATAAATGACAGCGTGAAAAAAGTCTTAATAACTTTACCTACTGTATTTCGGCGGCCTTTGCTTTGTTCTTTTGTTACAATAATCAGGAACTTGGTGATTTTGTTGCATCTTGAAGTTGGTTTTTAGATAATTGAAATTAACACCCTGTATGCTTTGTACACATGATGCTTTTGAAAGGTTCCACTATAAAAATATTATCACAAGTTTTTTAAAATGTTTGTCACTGCCTTGGAGAGAATTCCTTCCAATTTCTACGAGTGATATTGTTTTGGTGAAACTGGAAATATAATTAAAACACCAAATCAAAGAACAATATGCCCTGCACCATAAAACCAAGATGTGTGTTACATGTTTATACATTACCTCTGTCTAATATTTCATGACATTATACAAGTGAAAATGGCAAAAATAAAATCACCCGATTTATGACTCAATTTTTACTGTGATATTTTTACTAATGTTTTAAGAGATATATCGTATGTCACCGCCCAGGCGGAAAGCCCCAGATAGGGTCAGGCGGAGTCATAACACCCAGTGATCATGTGTGAAGTCAATCTTTAATGGTTGCTGCGCTTCCATTTGAAGCAGCTGTTTATGCACTTTGCTAACGAACTGTTTTTCAACCTCCTCATTAAGACTTTTATTACTTTTCTGAAATGTCAGTTTTAATATCGAAATTGCTTAATTCATCAAGCAGACTCATATTTTGCCATTTCTCTACATAGCTATGATTTATGTTAAGTCTGGATAAAAAATTCACTTTTTATCTGAAAATTGTCATTTTACTATTTTACCTGAAATATTTTTACCAGACCACAATTTTTGTATTTTACATATGTAATAATGTCATCATTTCTTTTGATTATTATGTATTCTTTATTTTGATTTGTTGGATTATTGCAAAAATGGTATTGATGAATAGGATACTTATTTTGAGGACTTGTATAGATAAATCGTGATGTCTGTTGTTCATTTTAGAAGAAGAAAGCCAAATATTATAATGGCTTGTTAGTCATGCCGAAACTTCATGATGTGTATGCTACTACAGGAAATATTCTAACTTTAGACCCATCCCACTGTTGTGATAATTCCAGACAACTATTACCGACAAATCAAGATGGATGCCATATACAAGGATTAAAGCATAATTCCAAGTATTTCTGGAACAAAGAGCTTTTTGCTGTTTATTTTTTTTCCAGTAGATTTGACACTTTTCTGTTACCCTTTCAATGCAGGTTTTTATTAGCAAAACTTGAATCTATACATTGTGAGCCATAGTGCCACATTTTCCATCCCGAACTACCACCTGTTGCATGTTCATGGAGATGTGACAACTTCTAATATGGCTCCCTTATTAATACGGAAGGCTAGAATTGATTCGTATTTGCTGGTATATGCATAATTTTAAAAACAATACATATGGTAACAGATATTTATTGACAAAATGTGTGAGGACTATTCTCCATACAACTGACAATGCAACAGCCTCTCTTGGGCTGCCAGAAAGACGCAAATTTCTTTTATCGTCCTTTCTTTCTATGGAAGAAATTGATTCTGGAAAGTAATAAGAATAGAAATTAATGAGCATAACACATTTCTCTGCGACAGATAACGGTATTGGGGTTGGATAATGTTTTAATATACTATTGATCAACAACAGCTTGAGGCTTGATTAATTTGCTCGTATCAATTTATTATTAAGCACATTGTTTCCTTGCCATTCAAACATTTACTGACTCTCCGCTAGCTGTTAGAGTCGCTCTATAAGGCATGATGTCATTCTGATGAATGCGCTCGGTAAGAATATCACTAAATATTTTCTTCTGTTGATCTGGACTTGTGAACAACCGGATACATTCCTAGTCACCAACTGTAGGTATGTTGTTGAATCATTCTGGTAAATTCTGGTAGCCTAAAAAAGTGTACCACAACATTAAATATGTATGAATTATACGCAATTAGAAAGTACAGTTAAAATGACTACTGAAAATTAAATAATTCTGCAAGGGAAATGTATATTTTTTTGCTTAAAAAATTACATTCTTTGCTGTATATTATTATAAAATGGCAACTTTGTTCAAACTGAATAATTAATGATAGAAAATAACTATTATCCTCAAGTTTGTGACTACATTTGAAGTTTTTCATATTTAATGAAACAATTTATAAATTATAATTCAAACAGATGGTGAAGAACATTATTGAATATGATTATGACAATATGAGCTGATGAAACTGATACCAATGTGACATACTCTGATAGTGTTGGCTGTCTTTGTCCCAGGGTAGGTTATGGTCATTTTGATGTAATTGTTCTGTAATCAATGCAGCTTGTGTGGCAGATGAAGAGGATGATTCCATCAGGGTGTTAAACCAGGATGGATACACTTACCACATTGACATTGCATTGTGGGAAGTACCTGTAGATCGGTAGACTCAGGACACAGTCATGGTCCTTGTTGCTAGAACTCCATGGCTCCTGTGATGACATCCTTGAGTTCATTTGGGATCTGTTAAATACCTTTGGTGTCACCTTTGTCTCAGTCAATCAAGGAGTGTCCCATCATTGATTATAAAGGCATGTATTGAAACTAGCTGTTGAATTTGTGAATGAGGACTGGTCATGCTGTGAATGTGAGTGGGTGTTTTGTCTGTATTTTTGAATATGTTGAATGTGGAAACATTGAATGAGAGAAGTAGGTGTTTCACAGAAATGACACTGTCTACAATCCTGCCATGTTGGGTGTTGACAAAATGATCTGAAACCTTAGAATTAGAAACAGAAATTGTATGCCGCTTGCTGATGATTCCCTTCTGTCTTCAGATTGCCGGAGTGAGGAGGGAGCAGCATGGCCCCAAGAATGAAACAGAGCTTGCCATGGACGTGGGGTCCTTGAGCACGAATGGGGCTGTGCAGTCCCAGTCATTGTCGTGTGTGTATCCTCCACTAGCCCCTCAGTCGGCCTCCTTGTCCATGGGGGACCAGCACCCTCTAGCGGCAGACGCAGCAGCAGATACTGAAGAGAAATCGGCATCTAACAACATGGTGGTCTCTCATAGCGAGGAGCGGAGCGACAACTTCTATAACTACAAGGAATCAGCAATGCTTGCTAATAAAGGATTGAAAGATGTTGAAGATTCAGTGACAAATGATGATACGAGTCTAGGAGTTACTCCTCTTGAAATGGAGGCTGCCTCTCCGGTCAAGGGAGGTAACTCTGATGGAGGTGCTGGGTCAGATTGTGAGGAAGACCCTGTTGAGTGCGGAGATTGCAACCGCGACTTCCTCACTCTGCAGCAATATATGGATCATTCGTGTGCACGTTTAGATTCAAAAGACCCCAACTTTGCCGACAATGAAAGTGAAATGAGTGATGGAGAAAGCTTTAATGGCAAGATTGTTTACAACCCTGATGGTTCTGCTTACATTATTGAAGGAAGTGACTCTGAAATCAGTGACCTTGACATAGATGTCCCAAAGCAGGACGGGGCAATCATAGACAAAAAGGGTTTGTCACCAACAGTCCCCACTCTACACCCAATTTCAAATGCTTTTTTTGTACCTAGAAATCCATCATCATTTTTGAATAGTTACTGCAACACATCTAGTTCCTCCCAGAAACTTACCCATGAAGCACCAATTATGCACAGTTACCGAGTGTATGATGTGCGATCAGGGAAAGACTTGAAATCAGGGGAGGAGTCCTCAGACTCGTCCCACAGCAATGAAAACCACATGCCATCATCTACCTCCTCCTCTTCTGCTAAGTCTGAAGCTCTTACTGTCCCCACCAAACCCATCCTCATGTGTTTCATCTGCAAGTTGTCATTTGGATTTGTTAAGTCTTTCACAGCACATGCCACCACTGAGCACTCCATGCACCTCAATCAGGAGGAACGGACAATAATGTCTCAGAAAAATGCATCTGCAATAATTCAGGGTGTTGGTAAAGGCAAGAGGCCTCTGATGTCATTTCTAGAGCCCATGCCTGCACCAGCATCAGCCTCATCAGCTTCCTTTGGCTCCAAGAGTCCATCATTTATGTGTGCAAATGCTCTCAGCTCGAACAGTAAGCAGGAATCTACCACTGTGAGTTATGTGTATACAAAACCAAAAATCTCATTACCTTCAGCATTGGAAAACCAGTCAGCAAATGACAGTGTGTCCTCAAAGCATGTTAATTCATGGGTAACCAATTCTCAGTCTGCTGTGAAATCTGAAGATGTTGACGGGAATAAGGAAAATAGTGACTCAAATGGCAAGGACTCTGACCAGGAGGAACCTTTTGGTAGCTTCCAATCTGCAGAAGATAGCTCAGCCAAAAGTACCAAGGTCAAGGGTGATCCAGAGAGCCCCAGAGTCAACAGCGAGAAGTCGAAGTTACCAGGTGAGGGCAACGCTGACAACACTGCCTCTACCTCAACCATTAACTCATCGTCTGTAACTAGCGTAGCCAGCCCCTCTCTTGTTAACTCCCAGACCTTCACAGGCTTCCTTGGTATGTGTGATGAACACCCTCAGGGCCGAGCGCAAGGCGTGGAGTGTCCAAAATGTGACATGATTCTCAGTTCGTCCCAATCTCTTGGTGGTCACATGACAATGATGCACTCTCGGAACTCCTGTAAAACATTAAAATGTCCGAAGTGCAACTGGCACTACAAGTACCAGGAAACATTAGAAATCCACATGAAGGAGAAGCATCCTGACAATGACACTCAGTGCATCTACTGCATAACCAACCAGGCCCACCCACGTCTTGCCCGTGGGGAGACCTACTCATGTGGGTATAAGCCATACCGGTGTGAGGTGTGCAACTACTCAACAACAACTAAAGGCAATCTCAGTATACACATGCAATCAGACAAGCACATCAATAACATGCAAGATCTTGCTAATGGTAGCAATGAGATCAAGATGCCTCCCCAGCAATCTCCTTTCAATAACAATGATGACAGTCAGTACAAGAAGGCCAAGCCCAAACAGACATGGAGATGTGACGTCTGCAACTATGAAACCACAGTGGCGCGGAACCTTCGCATCCACATGACAAGTGAGAAGCACACGCACAACATGATGGTGCTTCAACAGAACATGAAGCACATGCAGCGGGACATGCACATACAGATGAACCAGCTGATGATGCTCGGGCAGCAGGACCCAGCCATGTTTGGGCTGCCGTCACAGATGTCAGGAGGGATGTTCCCTTTTGACCAACAGGTCCTCATGGCTGGGCTTCCCCCTGGCTTTGAGGTGCCAGTTAATTTGACTAAAGAAAATGGCACAGCTATTCCTCAAACTGGATCTGAGAACATTGACTCCTCCAAGCTGTACCAGTGTTGTGTGTGTAACATCTTCTCCACAGACTCATTAGAAGCCCTTCATCAGCATCTGCAGCATGACCGCAGCAAGCAGCGTGAGAACGAGCACATTGTGGTCAACAATGGTACATACATGTGCAACTTGTGCACATACAAGACCAACCTCAAAGCCAACTTTCAGCTGCATTGCAAAACTGACAAACATATCCAAAGACTTCAGCTTGTGAACCACATCAAGGAAGGGGGCAGCAACAACGAATGGCGCCTCAAGTACCTGAACGTCAGCAACCCCATTCAGGTGCGCTGCAACTGCTGCGACTACTACACCAACAGTATTCACAAGCTGCAGATGCATGGCAGCAACCTGCAGCATGAGGGCAGTGCCCAACTGTTCCGGCACCTCCAAGGGGAGGAGGCCAAATTGAGCGGGGCTTCCCCCAAGTATTACCAATGTACAGTATGTCTTGTGTCTACCCGCACCAAGCTGCGCCTCATCCAGCATGTCCACTCCATGAAGCACCTGCAGGTGGAGAGCCAGGTCAAGGTGCAGGCACAAGAGGCTGGCACACCTGTGGAAGACCTTGCCAACCTCTTCGTTGTCAAAGAACTGACTGATGGAGAAAGTATAGACTTTGATGATGAAGGTAAGACAACTCAAGAATCATTCAAACACCCTAATGTTTATGTATACTATGTGATACTTAGAAACCCTGACATTTCAAATCATCTTGGGTTGGACTGGGCTTCTGGACTTTTGATCTTAATACCATATGAAAAACTGGTGGCACATATTTATCAATCCCTGCTCATTATGATCTGGTCAAATGCAAGATGTCCGTAAGTCATGTTTTCAACTGAAGTACTTTATACTAACAATTTATGACCCTAACACAAATATAAAGCTTTATGTAACTACGGGTAAATCTCTTTATTAATGAAGAGGTATCTATGGCAACAATATGATGAGTAATAATTTGATAAGCAATCTTCAGTTATTTTTAAGTTGTCAAAGTTAAAATATGGTGCTGTGTAGGGGAGTAGGCTGGTAGCCATGGATATCTGTGAGTAATTATCACTCGTACAGCATTCATATTCCAACACAGTAAAATTAACATTAAAGTAGATGAGAGTCACGATTCTGAAAAATCAATACCAGTTAACATGCTCAGCTACTACTGGAGACAAACGAAACTTGTACACAAAAGATCGCCATTATAAACATCTTTTTATCATTATTTCTCAACACCATGAAAAATTTACCTTTAAATGAGAAAAACAATGTCCATGCCTTTGATGAGAGAAATATTCAAAAATAAACTAATGGAAAGTTACAACTTAAGAGGTAAAATAACAAGACAAGTGAATTCATTGTCAAGAAAGATAGTTTAAACCGAGTGTTTTGATTAATAATTGACGGCTTTACCAGACTATCATGATGTAACGACAAAAAGATCTATAATTCATAAACAATAGGCGAGAAAGCGTGAATAGGACAGTAGCTTTGAAGAATTGATTTTCAATATGGCTGCCAATTTAATATCAGTGTTGACCTGACTGGCCAGGCAGGTAACAGGATGTTGTTGATTACGCTAGTGTCTCATTATAAAGCAGGTCAGCGCAATCAAACTCCTCATTATAACAACTGTCAGTATAATAACCTCGTTATAAAACTCCCTTATCACACAAGTGGTCTTTATGCCTAGGGTGGAAAATTTCAAGTGGGATGGCTTGGTGTGAGGGTATTATATCATGATAAGGGTAGTGGGTTTCAGGGGGGAGGGGTGGGACCCTGGATGTGACCTGATTAGGCCTTGCAGTGATGAATACTATTACAAAACCTGTTATGCTAAAAATATCTTTTGACTTGTTTTATCATTTAAATAAACATTAAACTAGGCTTCAGGGAGTAAACACAAACTGCTTGCCATTCAAGGCACATATGTTGCTTTTCAATCCATGTAAAGGAGTTTTGGGCTATTAAATCTAGTTAAGAGGACGTTCTCATCTATTATTTCATCTTCAAGTTGAACCTTAAGAGCCAACATAGTGACTATTGTACAGCCAAAGGTATAATTCAGATTTGAACTATTCATCGTTCACAATCTCATTGAATATCTGTGTGCCCTTTCACACACCTGTGAATCAGAGGCTGCGTTCCCACACCAATATCTAACAAGGCTAGCCTGGATTGGGTTTTAATAAGTTCACACTTACAAAACAGGATACAATTCATTTCTGTAAAATGTTCAAGTCTTAGTTGTGTAGATGAGCTGATCTAAGAATGACGGTGTTTTGAAGACTGAAATTAAAGGCTTGTTGCTGTCCTTTTCAGAAGTCATTTGAGAGTGGATAAGATTTCAGTGGGGTATTTCCAGCGTGGGATAGTGTTACCCTGATGATATATCTACACCATGGCCTTAGCAGTTTCATTGCCTTGTGGCAGCTTGTGTTTCTACTTAACCACATCTTTCATAGACACCCAAACTCTCGGCTTCAAACGAAAATCACTATTTTGATCCCCCATGCCAAAGAGCAGACAACTCTTACACACCTGAGAGTATTATCCACTATTTGATTGAAGATTATCATCTCAAGGTTCAGCTGTATAGATGTAGTTTACGACTTGCTGGTAATATGGTTAAATTTGAAATTTTACTTCAGATAATTATCTATACATTTATAATCAAGAATTGAAGGAATTTGGGAAATATTTCAAGTTCAAAACTTAAGGTACTTTACAAAGTATATTTATGAATGTTTGGGGTGATCTTCAGGGGGTGATCTTCAGAGGGAGATTTATGGCAAGGTAGAACAGATGAGTGGGTGCTTGTCAAAGATATAACATACGCATGGACAACAGGGATTTCTGTACTGGACACCAGATGTTGCTCACACTCAAGTTTCACTGACATAATTGCCAGAAGATTTGTTTATTCAAGTTATGACTTTCTCGACATGTTTGCTCGAGACAGGTTCAACCACCTGTAGTCATTCTGATCTGTCTCAAATGCAGCTTTTGTAGTAGACTACCCATTAACATATTCTTTCAATCACAATCTGTTCAGTCCTGTTGCAACTGAAAGTGACTTTTGTAAGCAGTGTTTGAGTGCCTTTATAGTGTGTTTGGCTGGGACGTTTATGTGTCTTCACCGTGTTATGTAGGCCACCACGCTACAGTTTTAACTGACAGGTCCTCCAGCTTGTTTGTAGATTAGGGTAATGAAAAGAATTCATATTTGATAAAGGATCATTTTGCATGGTGTCCTGCGACGAGTAAAATCGTGTTGTTCACAAAAGAAGAAGTGCCCCCTCTCCCCGAGCAGGGTCATGTGACTGTAATGTCGCTAGCGTGTACCAATGCCCGAAACAAAGGCGTAAATATGCAGCTCTCATCTGGGAAATACATTCCCCTTTCATTCGACTTTAATATTGAATAGACGAATATCTGGGACAAAGCTTTGAAAGAAACTGTACACTCATTATAAAACTCCTCCTTTCAAGGCTGAGCACAATTGTGCCACTTTCTAAAGAATTACTGTAATATATAGCTAAGACTAGGCTATAATAAATGCTTTAGACTGAGATTGTTAATGGCTTGCCACTACCGAGATAGTCAGTACATAAACCGCCATCCATGATTATATCTATCTTAAGCAACGGCTGTATGATTCTGCTCCAATCTAATGACATGCTTGCTCTGCTACAGTTAAACTTTACAATTTAGACAGATTAATTACCCATGAGTCACTAGCCACACCCGTGGTAGCTTCTTTTATTTGTGGTTTTCCTATGTCCTTCGATGTCCTCTGTTTGTGTGTCGACCCACCCCATGTTTGCCCATGAAGTAAACACCCTACTGATCCACACGTCAAGACTAAAACAATAGCATGTCTTGTCCAGAGGTGTGAAATACACAAACTGTCCATGCAGGATTATACAGATTAAGATGACTCGGCCATTTGTGATCATGCCCTTGCTGAGTTTTTGCCCTCTTGTTGGTTTGGTCAACTTGCAAATTTGCTTTGGCCCCTGTCCACGTCTAGGTGGCGAGAGACTGGTCAGTTTAGTCTGACTGAAGGGATTTGCTAGGAAAACAGTTTCTGTGCCCTAATCCTTATTACACCATGTATGTTCAGCAGAAGCCTTTGCTTTCACCTGTTTCAGTGTTGGAATATGTGGTTAGGAAATAACCATCTTACTGTATCATCATGTGGTCTGCCCATGAGAAACCTCACACTCAACTGATGAAGCTGGTGCCAGATTTGTATTTGATAAATAGATTTCTCAAACTGGACAGATGAATGTGAAGCTTTTAAATATCATGACACAAACATAATAGCTGGAGAAACTTCATGGTGATGATGGCGGAGATAAGCCAGATGGGAAGTAGCCATTGGAATGAAGAGTATTATGTTGTCCCCAGGACTCCTTGTCACCTGACATGGTAAACAGGAATAATTGTCAGATGAAATTCTATACCTAATTTCTATTAAGCTTTGTAAGCACAATGATGTTCTCCATCTTTCTTCTTCTGTCTCACCATACCATAGCCTTGATTGCCCTGTCTACACACGCCACGCCACGCCACGCCACGCCACGCCACGCCACGCCACACGACACCACACCACACTCAGATATCTCCTCAGCATAACCAGCATAACCAACCACGCCACACAACCTCACAATTCCAACCAATCTCATCCACTCAACCTCACAATTCCAACCAATCTCATCCACTCAACCTCACAATGCCAACCAATCTCATCCACTCAACCTCACAATTCCAACCAATCTCATCCACTCAACCTCACAATGCCAACCAATCTCATCCACTCAACCTCACAATGCCAACCAATCTCATCCACTCAACCTCACATTGCCAACCAATCTCATCCACTCAACTTCACAATTCCAACCAAGCTCATCCACTTGAGGTTATGAATCACACCCAGCTCATCTGTTTGTCTGTACTGGTTGAGTTCCCCTCCCACACCCCACTGCTACCATGTCTCTACCCACCGTCCCCAGCATGCTCTTTACCCACTTTGGAAGTTAATGAGTATTCAGATGCCCCATCAACTATCCCAGTCACACAAGACCTCCTTCCCAAGCAATAACCCTACATGACTATGCCAGCACATTGAGCCCTTGTCTTCAGTGGGGCTCTCTAGGAAGCATGACAATGATTAATTACACAATCCCCATCACACCTTCAAAGAACGTCCCTTTGTCCTCTCATATACATATGTGTATAAAGCTTTTGATTTTTCTCTTCTCTGACGTATGTTCATTACTACCCGTTCAGCTTACATCCCCAAGTGGACACTCATTTCCAACCCCATTCTTTTCTCCCACCCCTCCCCCCCTCCTATAACCCCCATCCCTTAATTCTTTTATTTCACCAGTTTGGCCTGAAGCTGTTCATTCAACACAGTGTGGTTCTTCTATAACCTGTTCTTTTATGTAGTTCAGTTTCTTTCAAGTATTCAGAGCGTAAACAACAACTGCCCATCCTTAAATCATTAAGGTGTAACTGTCTGCCATCACCTGCAGAGTGTTTTCATTAAATGCATTCTGTTTAAGAGATTTCCTAGCATTGACCCTCAGGTCTGTGTCCGTTGCTTCTCATTCCTCCAGATCTTCT